AACTTAGTTTAAAGGTTGAAAGAAAAGAGAGGAAGAAAAAAAAAAGGTAAAAATTCTTTGCTCTTAAGACTTTAAATTTTACGCGTTTCAAACTCCACGTGTCACGCTCTATCTAATCGTCTTCTTTTTTTTTTTTTTTTTTTTTGGAATTGAGTGGTAGATGTATCAATAGTATGGATACTCATCGTTTCTTTATTATTATCATTATTGATACACTTGTCATGATGATGGCTCCACTGTTTTCATGCAGTAGGACATGTACTACATTAAATCGATCTACGTTCTAATATGCTAAGTTTGATAGGAGTAGAAATTCAAACAAGCCCCGCCAAAAAGGGACAATATTGCATATAGTAGTTTAGTTTAATATTCAGGGACAATAAAATGATGATGATGATTATGATGATGATGATTGACTCTTATTATCGTAAAGATTCAAAGTGATGACTCCATGATGATAGCGCTAATCACGTAAAAAGTAAAAAAGTTCACACCTTGCGGTTTTTATTTGATTTAATCGCCTATCCATCCAATGCATATCTGGTATGGATTGTTGATCATGACAACGGTTTACTTACACGTAGACCTTATGACAAAAAAAAAAAAAAAAAGAGTGGTAGATGATGATTGACACGAAAACACGCTTTGATTGACACGAAAACACGCTTTGGTTGGCACGAAAGTAGTAAAAAAAAGACGCGCTATGATTGGCTCCTTGACTTTTTTTTTTGAAACTATTTAAACTCGCGGTATTTTTTTGATCTTTTTCTGCTTTTTTCCCTTTTCTTTTTTTCTTTGTCTTCCCCCCTTTTTTTTTCTTTCTTTTGTCCCCTCATCTTCATTGCCTTTGTTTCGAGTGTTGGACTATTATCCTTCATTCTTAACACCTTCAATACAAGAACCATTGCTTAGCACAATGTAATGTAGGCATAAAGGTATCGCCCTCGTTTTTTTCTTGTAACGCTATATTGTAAATAACCATTGCTTAGCACAATTTACAATGTTACTTGAAAAAAATGGCTTTTTCCATAGCGTAAGTAAGGAGATCCCGCTAACTCATTAGACGGATTTGCTGAAGAAAACCTAGGTTAAAGTCATGTTGTGGAGTAGGAACTTGGACAGCACTGACTAGTGTCTCCCTGTGATCTCTGTCAACCCCCTATCCTTTTTTTTCTTTTCTATGTATCCCCCTCATTATCCATTTACTCCCCGTCGCAATCATCCTCCCCACTACGACTTCCTACGACTTCTTACGATTTGGTGTTTGTTATAAGTATAAAATATGATATTGATTATGATACTAACACATTATTATTGTAGCGCCAACAAGAAAGTGTGTGATGCACTTCTTATTCATCATGATGATTCCCATCCTTGTACAGATGCAAATGGCATTCCATGATTTATTTGATGGAATGGGTTTTTGTAAAGCTGATACCTTTGGAGCTAGCCAAGACACCTTCTTTGACTTGGAACATATATCTGAATGAATGTTTTTCCTATAGATCTCTTTATGATGCTGTTTATAATATTTCACTAGTTTAGTCTCTATTATATTTTTTTTTTGAATAAAAATCATTCTATTTATATCATTATCATCTTCCATTTCCATCATATTTACATATCACGGTCACAGTTAAGTAACCAAAAAAAAAAAAAAATAGTTTATTCAGTATTTTAATCTTTTAGCTAGTGATCTACATTATTTTTTATTCTCATTTAAATAAAATCATACTTTTTTATCATCTGTTTATTACGTTATCATTGACTATTGTCCTATCATATCATATCACTGATTCTTCCATTTGTCATCCATCCCACTTACAATCATCATCTTGGAGAAGTACTAGTAAGAAAGAATAGTATGAATATCATTTTTTTTTTTTTTGTTTTCATTGAAAATTTACAAATGAAATCCACATGCACATTTGATAACTTCTTTCTACGATTTCCCTTTATACATTACATCCAACATTTTAAGCTTCTGATAAACTAGATATTTCCTCCATCATAAACCATCATCATCACGTCATTCTCGTATATTGTTTTATTATAAGATAATAATACAATTGAGTTCCATTAATTTGTCACTTGTTCATTTTATTTTTATAATACTTACACTAGGTTCATTTATCACGGTTAATAAAGCTTCAATCCAGGTGAATATATAATAATATGAAAAAAAATCATTTATTATACTAGTAAAATATATATTTTTATCTTTGTTGTCATGGTTATACTTACTTCGAGAATAAGAAGAAGAGGGTGCACGAATATCTTTTATGGTAAAAAAAAAAAGTTGAATTAGTTTGTTCATTAACTCTTTTTTTAATCACTTTGTTACTTTACTTACCTAATGTAGATACTAAAGAAAAAAAGATACAAGTAAAACAAATGATATATATCGAAAAAACATATAAGTAAAAAAAGTAATATATATTTATCCAAGACTAGTTACAGAATAAAGAGGCCACAACCAAAGGGAAGAGGGCAAAAGAGA